TGTCATTCCATCCATCTATCCATGTATCTATCTTTCCATCCATATATCTATCGTTCCATCCATCAGTCTATCATTCCATCCATCTATCCATCGTTCCATTCATCTATCTGTCATTCCATCCATCTATCTATCGTTCCATCGTTCCATTCATCTATCTATCGTTCCATCTATTTATCTGTCATTCCATCATCTATCTTTCGTTCTATTGTTCCATTCATCTATCTGTCGTTCCATCATCTATCTGTCGTTCCATTCGTCTATCTGTCATTCCATCCATCTATCTATCGTTCCATCATTCCATTCATCTATCTATCGTTCCATCTATTTATCTGTCATTCCATCATCTATCTTTCGTTCCATTGTTCCATTCATCTATCTGTCATTCCATCCATCTATCTTTCGTTCCATCGTTCCATTCATCTATCTATCGTTCTATCATCTATCTGTCGTTCCATAGTTCCATTCATCTATCTGTCATTCCGTCCATCTATCTTTGTTCCATTGTTCCATTCGTCTATCTGTCATTCCATCCATCTATCTATCGTTCCATCGTTCCCTTCATCTATCGTATCAGCTGCAAAGTGAAGTGAATCAGGCATTTTCAGTGATACTGTCAATCAACGGTACGTCATTTTGCCAAACTGAATCGGTGTAAACAAAGCTTAATTTTTACAAAGATTGTGCTACACCTGGAATTCAATCCAGTTCATATTCATTTGTGATGCGATGTTTCTTTCAGGATGTGAAATACAGTAAATGACGCCATGTGACGCTCATTGCGATGACAAGCCGTCATGAACCTTGTGCCTCCTCTTTAAAGTGTCTTCTGCTTTTTATCTCCTTTAATGTCTTAGTTTATCTCATCTCGGATTTCTAAATCCGGTGCCTCCATTAATTGCAGTGATGCAGTATTGTGTAGCACGTCGAGGATCGGTCATTTGATACAGAGCTTCCATCAGCCCCATTCCTGCCGAGTTTCACGGTAAAAATAGACCATCCCTCCTTCATTATTGAATCAGCAGTCTCCTCTCAATCACAGCAAATCAAACCTCTCATACATATTCCAGAACGATCCTTTGAACAGCGTCGAAAATCTACTTCTTAGTCTACTTCTATCAGGTGTCTTTCACTTCTCCTCGCCATCCGTCACTTCAGAGAGTCCGTCTTTCGGCCCGGACTGATTGGCTTTGACACCTTTCAGCTTTTGGCCTGACGGCTGAGCAACACTGTTAGTCCAGCACCAGCAGGGATATCGACAGCCATCGGCACCCTGATCCTATGGATTACAGCGCTGCATATTTGGGAATTTGAGGGTGTTAAATGTCTAGACCTGTCTCCAACTTGGCCTATAATTGATTATGTGTTTCTAACGAAGGATATTAGCATCATTTACACTAGTGGTCCAAAGTTTAGAATAGCTAATTTTTACCCACCAGCGTTTTTTCAGCGTCATTTTCACCAAAGTATTCATATTTTGTTGTATGAATACATGCAATTTATCAAAGGAAAGAACAGACCCTCATTGTAGCTTCATGCATTCCTTTTTTATCTTGAAAGTTTCATAAAAAATGAACATTTTGAGCAAAAAAGCTGAGAAAATCACGTTTTTGTGCACAGTCAGCGTTCAAAATCAGCGTTCAATAGGTTTGGTGAATGGAAACTAGAGCCAGACTGATAAAGGATTTTGAAGGCCGATACAAATATTAGTTGGTTTTAAAATCCGATATATCGGCCGATATTATTATTCTTATTTCAGAAACGCACAAAAAATATTAACAGATTTTCCTAACATTAGTTATTTGTAGTTATTTATGAGTTTTACCTAAAATAATATGATAATGCATTTTAAAAAGAAACTTAAAAAGAAACAGAGGAACATCAAAATATGTTAAAGATCTGATAAATAAAATAATAATTGGTCCCTACATTGCCTTATAGTTATAAGCTACCTTATAATTACAATATCAGCTTGCCTGCACTTTTTGACAACACTCATGACATGGTTGAAGCGTGATTAGTCCGTTTTATTTTATTTTTGAAATATTAATTTATTGGTCATTATAATTGCCGATACCAATATTTTAGAAAATGCCTAATATCGGCCTGCCGATATATCGGTCTGGCTCTTATGAAAACGCAAAGCTGTGTCAATAACTCAAAGCATTTAAGTGATCGCAAATGCAACGTATTTTGTGTGTGATCAATCACCCAAGGTCTCGCGTTAACAAAAGTCAGATATTTCGGTTCCCGGTGCTGCGGTGAGCTGATTCAGCAGTGTGGAGATCATGGAAATGACAGCCATGCTCCTTTTAGATCTAGTTTCGCCTTATTTATAGCACACTATCTCCATTGTAATCCGAGTAAGGAAGGATACCTGGACATCTTGCGCTTTTATCCTTGTTGTCATAAACCAACACAAGCAAGCAAGACCTCAGATAAGCTGAGCGAGCACATTCCTGCGAACGCTTCCCAAGCTGTTTTAAAGGGATTTGTGACCTCCCTGCAACAATGCAGAGTACACAATAGCTTATATAGGTCACTTCTCTACTTTAAAACGTTTCATACCCTTGATAAGGAAGCGTAAGTATTATGATTGATTAAATATTATGCAATTTGATCATAGTGAAATAAGCACGATAAATGAATTAATGTGGTTTGTACACATTTATATCCTGCTTTGTTCTTCATTTCAATCAGGTTTTCATTTTTTTGCATATATGAAGCATTGCATCTGGTTAGCAGTGAGCTAGTTTCAGTGTAAGATAATGATTGTGTTTTTTAGTGCGTACTTAGAAGTTAAAAGCAGAAGCAGCTAGCAATATCTCTAACTTAAAAGTTAAAGATATTGCAAAATGGATAAGCTTGCGTACATGCACACGTACTGTATGTGCGTCAGCTTTTTTCTACATTGTACTAGTTTTATTTTTTTTTTGCATGTCATTTGTTTTTAAAAAACATAAAAAAGACATTAAACAGAATTAAAAAATGCAGAATTCAAAAATAATAATAATATATACCGTTAAATTGTATATTTCTTAAAAAACAGTTTCAGAAATATAATAAAAACATTTTAAAGAATTATAAAAAAAACTTTCAAGAATTTTTCATTTTTAAATTTAAAAACAGAAATAAAAAATACAGAATTTAGAAATATGTGAAATTACATTATACATAATTAACCATATTTATAATAAAATTACAGATTTCTTTGTACTAGTGTACTAATTAATATTTTACTCAGTCATATCTATATTTTAGTTTCCTTCATCTTCCTTGTTTTGTAAGTATATCATGAGTGTGTGATGTGTGTGTGCTCAAGGTTAGCATGGCGATCTCGCAGCTGATGCTGTAGGACTCATGCAGGGCGATGAGCATCTGCAGAACAGGAGTGTGTGTGTGTGTGTGTGTGTGTGTCTGCAGTATGTGCTTCCGCTGCGCTTCTTTAACCCCTCCTCCACTGTTTCTCACACTCGTATCGGTTCGGCCTCCCGTGTCACTGGATATCCTGCAGTGGAGTTTAATGCAAACACGCGCTGACCTTGTGAGAATATTCTTCTAACTTTGGCCTACTTAATTAATATTGCAGTGTGGAACCGACATCTTCTTTGCATTGATCCTGCTTGTATTTCATGTAGAGTATTTAGCTCTCTTCTGTTTTATTGCAGAGGCTAACTTTATTGATGTTATTTCTCATATTGTGAAATAATATTTTGGTCATATCTCTCACCACTAAAGTGTATTTCATGCTTTTAACTAAACTGATTTATGATACTATTAATATAACGAACATTCACCATTGAAATATTGCTTTCAAACAGTTTTATTTTGTTAATATACTCATTATATTATGCTTTTGCAGTTGCGGCATCTTCCACTCCTGAAAATAAATGAAAACAAACCTTCACCCCTTGGGATAAATGAGTAGAAAGTCAATTCAAATATGCATAATAGATGTTGTTGTTGTTGATTTTTCTGCAGAGGTAAACTTATTGATGTCTGTTTACTGATGATTACTAAAATTATTTTATTTGGTAATAAAAAAATAAATACAAATGTCCAGATTAGAATTGAAATGTCTGAACTAGAAATAGTAAGTGAAATTAAATTCTTAGGTGTCATTATTGACAACAAACTCCCACATAACTTACATAAAGTCAAAAATTGCAAAAACTCTGGCTATCCTGTTTTGTTTCTATGTTTGTTTGTAAATTTCTTTTTGAAGCTGACCGAAATAAAAATTATGAATGAATGAATAGGAAAAAAACAGACTAAGCAATAACTATAAATAAAAATCCATTCTGCAACTTTTGAATACATAATTATATTTTTTATAAACCAAATTATAAGCTTAAGTGCAAGATCCGAAAGTTGGTCGTTTTGTCGCTATGGTTACACACACACACACACACACACATGTACACGCCGTTGGCGGTGCGTTCAAAGTCATCTGTCAGTTGTGCAGTCCCAAAATCTCCTAAACAAAGTTAAAACCCAAAACTGATTAAATATGTGTTTTATTAAATATTAGTACATCGAAAACTGTACATGATATGTGTTTTTTAAATCAAGTGATCAAAGAGCTTGTTGCCGCGGCGATCAGTGGATACGTGGATACAGTGTTTTCTCGTCTTCACTTGGACGCGCGCTTCAATCCGTTGCGGATATCTTTGTGGATATTGTAGTATTGTGTTGCTAAATCCCTTGAGCACAATGTCGGTCTGAGACAGCGAGACCTAGACAAGACATTTCTTTTCTGTTAACCTTTTACCATGTCTTGAGTATCGCAATAATATCGTATCGTGAGTTCAGTTTCGTCACATGTATCGAATTGTGACACCTCTAGAAATGATTGTATTCATATTGAGATCTCCGATTTTGGGGCTGGCATTTGTTAGGGTACACTGGGGTCTTTTTCGTAGGAGACTTCAGCAAATGTTTCAATTGTAAAAAAAAATGTCGATTCTCACGAGTTGTTTCATTTGTGATCTCTCCTGTCGTAGGGTCGGTGTACGAGAGAGAACTGTAAGTACCTTCACCCACCAGCGCATCTGAAGACGCAGCTGGAAATCAACGGACGCAACAACCTCATCCAGCAGAAGACGGCGGCAGCGATGCTGGCCCAGCAGATGCAGTTCATGATCCCCGGCACCACCATGCAACCAGTGGTAGGAGACCGCACGTTTCCACTGGGCTTCTGCGGGGCATTAAATGGATTTTGTGGAAATTAAGGCCTTAAATGGCATTAAAAAAGCATTACATTTTAATCCTACAGGCAGTAAAAACCTAGATAGTTTTGAAGGATATTTTATATTATGAATTAGTTTCAATATAGCCTTCATAATTGAACTTTTTAATTTGCTGTCACAAAATATGTACGTTAGTGTGATAAACACATGGAGCCAGTTTGGTAATTGCAATTTTGGTATTGTTTCATCATTGTCAAACTGAATGGTTGCAATTCAGAATTTGGGACATGTCTGTTTAAATATAAATGAAATATTGTATAATAATACAGTAAACATAATATTTTTATTGTATAAAAATAATATTGTAATAATATTATATTTTATCTATATATATATATATATATATAAAATCTGTGGTTAGTCATGGGTCATTTTTTATAAATGGCATCAAAAAGCATTAAATTTAATTTGAAGATACCTGGAGAAATCCAGGATAATATAATAATTGTATTTTTCACAGTTCTTACAAATAAGTATTTTAAGCCTTATAATGTTTTGCCAATCATTATATATCTAACACAGATTGAACTGACGCAATAGTATAAAACTCTCCTGATGTTTTAATAACTATCACAAAAGTATAAAATAATGCATATTTGAAGAGTTCAGATGCAAAAGCCTCTAAGTGCCATTTGAAATTTTCTTCTAAAATGATAATTTTTATCAAGCTTGTATATTTAAGTTCAGTAATTTCACTTAAATGGCAATGATAATTACCTATTAATTGACATTTAAGTGAAATTACTGAACTTAAATATACAAGCTTGATAAAAATGGTAATTTTAGAAGAAAATTTCAAATGGCATTTAGAGGCTTTTGCATCTGAACTCTTCATTTTGTCACATTTTGGAACTTTGAAGGGTTAAAGTTTTGCTTAGTCAAATGCTTTTTACCATCATTGTGGTCAGAGTGGCATTAAAATGAAAAAAAAGAGCAATGATAATAGTGATGCTTGACTTTGCAAACAGCACTCTTGAGAAATATTAAACAGCAGTGTTTTGACATGCATGAAATTTGACATTTGTTTCTTTTTTTAATACTTTTTAAGATTTTTATTCTAAGTGACATTAAAAACAAAATTGAAAATTGAAATTTAGTTTAATTTAATTAATTGGAAAAATATTTTTAAATTTAGTAGACATTGAAAATTGAATATGATTTAAATATGTACAGTTAAATTATATCTAATTCTAAAAAAAAATAACAATTGTTGTCTTCACAGCCTACATTCCCTGTCAGCCAAGGTCTGGGCTCGAGCCCTGGACTGAGTTACGCGCCGTATCTGACTCCCATGAGCCACGGCATGGGTCTGGTCCCCACAGAGATGCTCTCCAGCACCCCTGTGATCGTCCCGGGCAGCCCACCGGTCAACGTGCCGAGCTCGTCCTCCACACAGAAACTACTGCGCACCGACAAGCTCGAGGTAAAGCGGCACACAGACACATTTCATTCAGCTTGAGTTGCAATTATTGAAACCTAGACAAAAGTTATTATAAAACCTAAGGAATAAAAAAGTAAGTCTAGTTCATGCTTTTAACTTAATTTTTACTATGTTAATAATTTACATACAGTAGCAATGAACGGAAGGGATAATTCAGATAATAAATAAGACCAATCATATGTCAGTATGCAAATGAATGCAAGCATAATTCAGTATGTAGATATTAGGATCATCACTGTCGGCTAAATTCTGAATGATGAACATTTGAGTGAAGTCGAGATCACTGTGTAATACAATTAAATATTTACCTTAAATATACTGCTTGCAGAAAGGTTTGTTATTTTAAAATGCACATTAAAATACTTAATTTTTGGCCCTTAAAAGGATGCAGTTTTGTAGTTTTGTATCTCTTAAAACTTAGTCGTCAAACCTTGAACCCTTGGGTTTAATGGGTAGAAAGTGAAATAAAATGTGCGAATCGATGTAAGAGAGAAAAGACAGCTCACAATTCAGTATATTGCCAGACATAAGAGAGAATTTATCTGATATTTTGAGGAATCGCAGTACAAAAATACAATCAAAATACAACATAAGATGTTTGGCGACATTTTAATATGCAAATATGTGTAAAAAACAAACAAAAAAAGAGATTTTTTATAAAGAAATGATGAATTTAATATAAATAAATGATGAAAGAAAGAAAAGACCCGTTATAAATCAGAAAACAAATTGACGTAAGAGAGAAAAGGCCAATCATTCAGCACGCAATTACATGTAAAAAAAACAAAAAAAGATCATTAATAATTCTGTGGCCGAGGGACGTGAGCGAACGGATTCAGAGCCACAAATTCAAGAAGAGAAAAAGAAAAGACCAATCACATGTCAGTATGCAGATTAATGCAGGCAAGCAGACCAGTCATAATTCAGTATGCAAATATTAGCATCATCACTGTCGGCTAAAACGTTTGAGTGTCAGTGGGAGATTTTCAGACTTTAATGTGTAAGTTTGTGAAGACCGAAGGCTTTTGTCTGTGTGTTAAAGATAGAGCTGAATTGATTACAGAAAAGTGTGAGGAGGGGGACAGAAAGAAGTGTGAGGCCTTTCAATTCAGCTCTGCCATGCAAGAAAATGATCAGTGTGGTTGAAACAATAACAGTTGAAGGTTGTGTGTGTGTGTGTGTGTGTCATTAAATATGCCATCACTTAGCAACTGACTGATATCTGTGATAATGAGAGGCTCCGTTCCTCCGCGGCCCTCCCACACCGAGAGGCTGTCGCTGCTTTTGTTAACCCTCTGGGGTTGTTCGGCCCAAATGGACCTGAAGAATTTATAAAATTTTTTTAAAAATCACAGCTTCCTCGGAATGGTCCGAAATTTGGTGACTTTGTTGGTATTTGGTATTTGAACACCCAAAAAAATTGGGGACAGGATGTGTATAGTCTAATTGGTTGTAAAAAAAAAATAGTCACACTTGGGGTGTTCGGGTCCAAATGGACTCACATCGAAAATGAATGGGAAATTGGCAAAAATGTGAAAATACTGAGTTTTTTTGTGCGTACAATCTACAAATCAGCCACAATCTTGAAAAAAAAAACACAACAGTGAAGGGGTGAATCTATAAAACATCAAGAGAGCAAAACAGACACACACACACACAAACAAACACACTTTTATACACAAACACACCAAAAAATTCAGATTATACATGCGTTTTGCATTTTTAAAATGCTCAGTTTGTCCATCAGATGGCCAAAAATTGCTTTTTTGAGGCCTAGGCTTGACTCTAAAATGAAATACAGCTTCAAAAAAAAATTTTTTTTTTAAATATATTAAAAAAAAATATTTTTTCTATTATGTTCAATGGGGGGAATTTTGTCATAATTATTTCATTAATACTTATTATATTTTTTTTTTATTTCTGAAATTTTCTCAAAACACCATAAAAGAAAAGAAAAATATTATAAAAAACGAGTAAAAAAAAAAAAATCATGATTTTTTTTTTTAAATATGATTTGGATCCGAACACCCCGAGTGTGACTCTGAAACGAACAACCCCAGAGGGTTAATATTCAGCTGTGTGTGTGTGTGTGTGTTTGCCATACCTGTGCTCATACATGAAAGCTTTGTTTGAATCTTCACTGACTCACGTCTCTGTTTGCATATTTCTGTTGTGTTCCCTGTTTGTTTCGTCTGCGTGTTTGTTTTGCGTCCGCGAACGGCAGGTGTGTCGCGAGTTTCAGCGGGGAAACTGCGCGCGCGGCGAGACCGACTGCCGCTTCGCCCATCCCAGCGACAGCCCCATGATCGACACGAGCGACAACACGGTCACCGTGTGCATGGACTACATCAAGAGCCGCTGCTCGCGCGAGAAGTGCAAGTATTTCCACCCTCCGGCGCACCTTCAGGCCAAGATTAAAGCAGCTCAACATCAGGCGAACCAGACCGCCGTCGCAGCGCAGGCCGCCGCTGCAGCCATGGTGAGCCAATCACAGCTTGCACAAATAACATGCATACAATTCAACGTTTAAAGAGTCATGTTAGACCAGCTGCAGTGCTTAGAATTGTGAAACCTTTTATGTGTACGATAAAATCAATTGTCAACACATGTTGAGAGAGGCGCGCCGGCGGAGGTTGCGATTAGCATATCTGATGATGTTAGCACGTTAAATGTGGAGCACTGCTTTATTATTATATAGCCATGACCCGTCTCCAGAATCTGGGCGGGTTGCGTGCCAAATCTGTGTCGACTCCCTTATCTCGTCCCTGGAGGAGAACAGTGTGAGTAAAGAGAGAGAGATAAAAATCACTCCCCCCTTCTTATCCATCTTGTACTTTACTGATGCGATCATTATTAGGATAGGATATTGATATAATAAGCGCGATGGCTTAAAAGCTTTTTTGCTCACACCCTTGACTACACAAGGTCACGGGGGGCCGGCTCACTTCCACATTTCGCCTGCTCTTCTCAAATCAGGCGAGATTAAATTAAGGAGATGGATAGCATCTTCATGCCAAACTGACGTGAATGCACAGGTTCATCCACTATATTTGGTCACATGCCAGGCTGCTCTCACTTGTCTACGTGTCTACACTACAACTTCGTGCACCATTGTAAGCAAGCAAGCGATGTTGAGTTTTGATTATAATATTCATGCACGTATGCAGTTTATTCTGTTGCATTACTTGCAGTTTCGTTAAAGGGATAGTTCACTTTGAAATTAATGTTTGATATGTTTTAGCTTGCCTCAAGTGCATCCAAGATGTAGGTGTCTTTGTTTCCGCAGTAGTTTCAATTTCGATATTTTTAGGTCAAACCGTTCGTATAATGGAGGTCTATGGTCACCACCTCAAAGAGCATGCACAGAGAAGTCCAAATTAAACATGATTTAATGACTCGTAAATGTAAGTACACATTGATGGCCTAAGACACGAAACGAGCGGTTTGTGTGAGAAAACGAACAGTATTTATAACGCCCGTGCCCTCAGATCAGTTGGACGTGGCTGTGGTTACAAGAGGTAAAAACGATATAAATACTGTTCGTTTTCTCTCACAAACCGCTCGTTTGGTGTCTTAGGCCATCAATGTGTACTTACATTTACGAGTCATTAAATCATGTTTAATTTGGACTTCTCTGTGCATGCTCTTTGAGGTGGTGACCATAGACCTCCATTATATGAACGGTTTGACCTAAAAATATCTAAATTGAAAATACTGCGGAAACAAAGACACCTACATCTTGGATGCCCTTGAGGTAAGCTAAAACATAGCAAAAATTAATTTCAAATTGAACCATCCCTTTAATGTATTTGGCTTCGATTATAACAGGTGATATCAATGTTAGTTGCATCGCAATCTCTGCATGCATGCAATTTTGTTGCATGGCTTTTTGATGGCAGTTTTGATGATTTCTGATGGGAGCAATGGACACTGCAAGCAAGCCATGCAGCAAAACTTAACCAATGAAAACACATGCACTGCAACTCAGTGATGCAGTATTGCACATTTGCAGTGTAGACGGCTTTTTGTTGTTTATGGGAGCAACTGAGAGGTTTCTACATTGCAAGTCAGCAAAACAAATCTAGATGTCTCCTGTTATAATCAGCAAAACCATCTACATTGAAAGCGTTGTGATGCAATATAACTGGATATTGCATGCTTGTAGACTAGCTTTGTTTTTTATAATGGGATTGAATTTGTTTTGCTTTTGTGGAATGTGTTGCAACAAAACTAGATCACTCCCATTATAATCAACAGAAGACATTTGCAAGCGGGTGTAGATAACTTTATTGCTTATAATACAAGTAATACAATTTTGCATTGCTTTATTGCATTTCTCAAGCCAACATAAAGTGTGTCTTGAACCTTTTTATCTAGTTTTATTTACACTGCAACAAGCAAAGCAGCATAAGAAAACTATCGTGCTCCTGTTGAAGCTGTCTACACTCGCGACGCATGCAGTGTAGACAGCGTCGTTGATTTATAATGAACGCATGCACTTTTTTCTACAATGCAATGCAAGAAAACTAGATCGCTAAAACTGTATACGTTACAAATTCACAAGCTTGTCGTTTATAATGGGAACGATCCAGTTTCCGTGCACTGCGTCGCTCAGTTGATTGATTATAACGGTTACGCGCATCCAAAATAAAAGTTTGTGTTTACATAATGTAGTGTGTATAATTAATTTCTATATATAAATACCCACACATGCATGTATATATTTTATATATATTTATTCACAATTAATGATATATATAAATATATGATATATTAATAACACATTTTTCTTAAATATATACATGCATGTATATATTTTATATATATTTATTCACAATTAATATTATATATAAATATATGATATATTAATAACACATTTCTCTTAAATATATACATGCATGTGTGGGTATTTATATATACAAATTAATTATACACACTACACACACATATATTATGTAAACACAAACTTTTATTTTGGATGCGATTAATCACGATTAATCGTTGCCCATCCCTAACGGCGAGGATCTAGTTTGGTCACGTGACTCGCTTGCAGTGTAGACACGGTGTTTGGCAGCAAGCTTTCGCGCTTCCGCTACGACGCTGGTGTGCGTTTGCTGTCATGACACTCACATGCTTGGCCTCATTCGTTTTGCTGTTTACTCCATTTTCGCTTTTGCTTTTGCCCTGTACCTTTTTTTGTTTTCCCACTGTGGCGTCTGGGTCATGAGGTGACGCGAGGACAGTATCAGCTCACCAGCCATAACAATAAAACAAGAGTGAAAATAAGATAAACCGCCTGGCTTTAGCTTCAGTTTAAACGCTGCTTGCATTGAGGTGCTCTGGCCTTTCCCCGATTCAGATTTGCTTGTAGGGTTTAAAGTGAAGCAATCGATCCCTGCACCCGCGACCCCAATGCGAAAGAGTTGACACGGTTCATTTTCTTGTCCTTTGTTTTGTTTTTCTCCAGTGGAAGGTTATGTAATCCTCTATGATAAATCCCTGTGGGTGGCATATTTATTTTAATGGTTCTGTATGTTGGCGGAGGGGAGCAAAACAAGAAACTCTTGGTTACAAGAATGCCTTCAGCATCTCATCCTGATGTTTATTAAAAGCACACTCTTCCTAAACCTACTGATCTGAACACCTAGACGGCACTGAGGCTTGTGCATTGTTGTTCTGCTTTCTAAGAAATTCATGCAGCAAGTATCCTTCAGGGAGAATTTAATCCCAGAATGCATGCGACAAGCTTAGTGAACAGTTAGATTTCAATGCACTAAAATCGTCATAAATACGGACAATTTGCTGCTGTATATTTTTATGCTTAGAGTGTTAGTTTAGCAACATGCAAAAGTCAGACTTTAGTTGCGACGTGCATGATAAGTCACTTATGCTCGAGAAGGTCGCGGCCTATGTAGACAGCAATGCAGCACACTAGGGTTTTGAACAGAGCTTCGAGAGAGTACAGGCATAGATGTTTTTTTCTGTTAAAGGAGTAGTTCACTTTTAAAAAAAACTTTTGCTGATAATTTACTCACCCCCATGTCATCCAAGATGTCCATGTCTTTTTTTCTTCAGTCGAAAAGAAATTAAGGTTTTTGATGAAAACGTTCCAGGATTTTTCTCCATATAATGGACTTCGATGGGGTCCAAACGGTTCAAGGTCCAAAAGACAGTTTCAGTGCAAACTACAAACTGTTCAAAGGGCTTTAAACGATTCCAGACGATGAATAAGTAGGGATGCACCGAAATGAAAATTCTTGGCCGAAACCGAAAACCGAAAAAGAGGAAACCAAGGCCGAAACACCGAAAGAAATTATGCCGATTATTAGTATAATTGCATTTATGGCTATGACTGTGTACAAACGTTACTAAAATCAAGGCATTGCAATTGCATAAATCAATATAACATTTTCAAAGAATAAATCAATTACAAATTATGCAAATATTTATTTAGCACAATGCACAGTATAAAATAAAATTCAAACTAAAATGTTTAACTTGACCCCACTCATGTGCACACTAAATAATAATCTACTGGCCTGCAGAAAGGTTTTAAAATGAAATGTTCTCTCAAAAACAAAGCCGAGCACCCATTTTGCATGTCTAAATTAGTTGCATTTTAAAAATTTTGCATACAATAGCATAAAAAGCCTTTTTAAATGAACAATGGTCCATGTTTAATACAAATGTACATGAAACTTAATGAAACATGTTTAGTGAATGTAGAAAATATTTAAGAGAGCATTAATTTAGTTCTATACATACATGTTCCCATATAAATATTTTTTTGTAATGTCACAAGTAATAATCTCAGGGTTTACTGGGTTTCACATGATTATTTTTGTATTGTGGGTGGAATACTAAAAAATAAACATTGTCATGTATTTATCTGTCTTCTTCTCACCGATTCCTGATGGTTAGAGGACAGTTACTTGAGTCGTCCCCTGTCGTTTCAAAGATTTGTACAACGGAGAGCGCGTCAAGTATAAACGCCTCGACCGTTTGGAGCGGTGCACGCGCTGTTTGTGGAGACTCGCGCTGCCTTGTTTATACTTTCGTCTGCCTCCGCTGCGCGAGTCTCCACAGACAGCGCATTGTTCAGAGGAGATATAGGTGGATAAACAAGGTTTCCGTCTCATCGCGGGTTCAGAAACACTGAAATACGTCCACACCACAGACATGTTGCTTCAGACAAGCACGTGCAGGTCGCGGTTTCTGTTTGCGTCATCACAACATTTCCGCCGTATTGTTTCGGTGATAAAAGTCTTTAAATGCACTTTTGGGCCATTTTCGGCCGAAAATTTTCGGCGGCCGAATATTCGGTGCATCCCTATGAATAAGGAAAAATATTCGCTCAATTTGATGATTGACTTCGAATAGGAGAGTCACCAACGCTCATCACAAAACAGAGCAAGGCGAGCATTTGAGCTTATAAAACTTAAACTTTGTTATTTATTTATTAAATGAGCGATCGTTTCGCTTGATAAGACCCTTATTCATCGTCTGGAATCGTTTAAACCCCTTTGAACAGTTTGTAGTTTGCACTGAAACTCTCATTTGGACCTTGAACCGTTTGGACCCCATTGAAGTCCATTATATGGAGAAAAATCCTGGAATGTTTTCATCAAAACCCTTAATTTCCTTTCGACTGAAGAAAAGAAAGACATGGACATCTTGGATGACACGGGGGCGAGTAAATTATCAGCAAAAGATTTTTTAAAAGTGAACTACTCCTTCTTTAAATGACTCTTCAAGTGCGTCACATTTCTCTCGTACAACCCGTTTGCTGTAATCTGTGACTATATTACAAGGAAGAAAAGATGCATTTTTTTCCTTTTCCACATTCTTTTGTCTTTCTTTTCTGTGGATATTCTGATTTGAAGCATTTTTGCATGGCCCTTCTGCGTCATCTCATTTCAAGCATCCCGTTTTCTTTACTAAACATTTTGCTGCCCGTCATTCCATCGAGCCACATCTTTACTTCTTACCAGTACTTTTGCATGGCATTTTGAACTAGGATTAGTTGCATATGTATGTAGATGACACCACAATAAATATAACCCATAACCAGCAACATAAATTGGATATAAGAATAAACAGAGCTCCACATTTTGTGATCACTCGCATCAGTTGTTTCGACCTTTACGCTTTATAAGTGCAGAGTCATTTTAATCCCTCAGTTGGCAAGAAATTGCAACATATTGTGACAGAAATGAATGTCAAGGAAGGCATTTGCCTCGTTTACCGAGTGTCCTTTTATTTCCCCAAGTCTAAGTGGTGGTAAATGTCATCCCAGCGCATGTTAAAATCGCCAGATGACAACCGCAGAAGCACGATGCTGTCTTAATTAGCAATCAATAGATGGCAAAGTTAATCGACTAATCTGACCAAAGCAAGCCGTCGAAGAGATGTTTGATTTTAATCCGCCACGCGCGCAGAAAACCCTTCGGTGGCGGATATATCGGGTGCCGGATGCGGTCAGTGTGTTTCATGCAGTGTTTGTTCTCCATTGATTTACTGCTAAAGATGATTCGAGAGCTTTCATAGCACTAATATCTCCAATCCCATTTGACTTTGATCGGTAAATGGTGAGAATCTTGATTTCTGCCGCTTTTAACACAACAGGTACTGTAGACGCTTTTTGCTTTCGTACTAATTCAGAACGTAGCGATGTGTTTCTTTGAGACGAGTTTTTTCGTTTATGTGCATGCCTATTGTTTTGTATGTGGTATACTGCATTCAGATTATTTTTGTTTTTGTTTTTTTTCCTTCTCACCTATCCACAATGCAATGCTGTCCCCATGATGCACCTCTGCTTGCTGTTACCTGTATGTTAATACGCTTGAATCCCATTGGCCCACTGCCATCATGTGCTCGCTGCCTGCTATTAAAAGACTCAGTCGACTGCCAAAGCAATGAAGCGACCCCTCGAGGCATCTGTAGATCTGGTACTATGACCTTTCACCTTTTGCTTTGCATGTAGCTTTTTAATGTACTGTAGCAACTCACAGACTTTTTTAATTTGGCTTCTTTGTTTTGATAGCACAAGTAAAAAGTCACATTGATATCAATTTAGAAATTACCAATTATTGAAGCCTAGTAAACGTAAGTGCCTCTAAAACGGAGCTTCGAGTCAACAATGTGCATTGATGTTTGTGTAAGCGGACGCGTGCACGCAACTCACGCTTGTCTTCTCGCTCAGGCGTTCCCCCATGGAGTCCTGCAGCCCCTACCAAAGAGACCAGCACTAGAAAAGAGTAACGGGGCCAGTACTCTCTTCAACCCCAGTGTCTTGCACTACCAACAGGCTTTGGCCAACGCACAGCTTCAGCAGCCCACCGCTTTCTTTCCCACAGGTAAGAACACACACACACACACACACTGCTTCGTATTAATCAGCCCCCTTTTTCTCTCTCCTGCGATCCCGAAGTAACGAGGCCTTTAAACATGCGTTTGTCCCTTTTGCATGCAGGGAGTGCACGAAATACTAACGCAGATTTCGTTTGATTTTCACTCGCGTTAATGGAAGTTTGGGGTTCTTGGATGTAACAAAGCATTGCCGGCCATTGATTAAATTAGAAAAAAGTGCTTTGATCGGCACACTTGTACGCCGTCAGATTATATATCTGACTCCCAGCTATATGGGACAACACATAATGCCGATATGTTTGCATAAAAAAAAATAATTCGGATCACAATTAAAATATGCACAACAGATAAGATAAAATACTATATATAGTATAATATAATATATATAGGCCGCTATATATATATCATTCAAAATTGTAAAAAAAAAAATATTTATTTTTATATTTGGTACAATATTTACTGCTATTTGAAAACAAGAGATATTTGTAATTTATTTAAATAAACATGGTGATATATTGTCTATCATTGTGAAATTCTAAATGTTTTTTATATATATATATACGTATATAACATTTATATATGTTGAACAATTATTGATGATTATAATTGTATCCAATCGCATCCAAAATAATTATTTTGTATATACTGTATATAAATACACACACATGCTTGTATATTTAAGAAAAAAATATTATTTTATATATAAAATATTTATATTTGTATATAATATAAATTATATATATAAATATAATTTTATTTACATGAAAATATTTCTTAAATATATACAAGTATGTGTGTGTATTTATACATATAAAATAATTATACACAGTGCACACACATATATTATGTAAACATAAACTTTTATTTTGGATGCGATTAATCGCGATTAATCGTTTGACAGCCCTAATATTTAATGTAAAAATTTACAAAATACATCAAATTAAACCTGATTATTTAAAAAAAGGTGCCAACTATCTTCAAATGGCTAAATATTGTTTGATTAATTTTCCTGGCCAATATATTGCCTGGTGAAAATTGCAGGAACATTTTGATATTTAATATTATATTTTACACGCTATTTTTAGACAATAAGATTAACAAGTCTGATTTTTTTATTATTATTATTATTACAATTAATTTTAATGTTTATACATTCATTTTAAAACAATTATTCGTAAGCAAAATGTATCTAATATTATTAATATTTTATTACCTATATTATTTAAATTTATGCATTTGTCAGACGCTTTTATCCAAAGTGTCTCATTCACATTTTTATCAGTTCTTGCTTTCCCTGGGAATCGAACCCGTGACCGACTCTCATCAGTTTGAGCTTTATTTATAACCGTTATTATCTGTATTCATCTTTTCAACTGATAATAATAATTATTATCATTATATTATTCTGCGTAATCAACTGAAAAGATGGTCCTGGCTCTGAATCTCAGTAAACAACCGCAGTAAACTGTGTTTTTTTACCTGTAGGCGTATGTACTGCAGTATTTTTATGAGCATAAACACAGGAAAACTCTGTGTGCGTCGGGTCTCGGAGCGAGTCCTGCAGTCTAATCCCTCGTAGGTGTATTTTGTCATCACACACCCACGTGGTGGTTGTGTTTTCTTTAGCTGTCCTCCTGTGCCCCCGTTCCTCCCTCTTCTCCAGCGCTGGGCCTTTTGTAACAGCAGAGCGTCTATTTTAACCGTAGGAGTGGCTGTTCCTTCACCGCATGACTCTCTCATGTGTGTGTGTGTGTGTGTGTGGCTGATTTTAGCCATCTTCCTCCTCTGCCCTGTTGCCCTCTTCCTCCTCTCCCACACTGCGCTCTAATTTCACAACGCTAAGCTCCCGTCCTCTCATTGCGGCCCATCTGACTATTGATCCAGTTTATCTTCCTGGAATTCACCGAGGTTTTTACCGGAATGACGACACGGCGGAGCGAGCGATCTATAATGACAAGCTTAATTGGATTTGTATGGCATGCTGAATACTGAATCTCTGGCTCTGTCTAATATGTTTTTCTTCCCTATTAACCTCTCTCCACTCTTCACTGCATGGTCACAGGGTCAGTTCTGTGCATGGCTCCTGCTAGCAGCATTGGTAGGTTCCTCCTCTCTCTGTCTGTCTGTCTCCCACCTCACGTAGCGATCTAGTCGCTCTTACAGGTGATTTGAAGCTCGATTGACCCGTGACCGTAACGTCACGCATCATTCTAGATCAGTGGATCTGTGTTAGTCTGCTTCAGTTCACCTGCAAGAGCGCTCTGTGTGTGTGTGTGTTTGAAAATTCACATTTCTCTCGTTGGGGTTTTTTAATTCATTAATTATGTACATTAATACAGTAATTATGTGTGTTTTATTCAAAATACTTATTATTATTATTATTATCTGAATTCAATATATTTTATTATTATTATTCAGTTTCTTGTGTATTTTTTAAAATTACAATTTTTTACAGGGACATTTTCAGGATTAGATATTTGTTTTAATATGCATTTATATTATACCATTTTTTTTATTTAAATTTAAATTATTCATTATTATTATTATTATTATTATTCAGTTTCTTGTGTCTTTTTTAAAATTAAAATTTTTTTACAGGGACATTTTCAGGATTAGATATTTGTTTTATTTTTTGTAAAATGTATAAATATTATGCATTTATATTATACATTTTTTTATTGTTTTATTCTTTACATTTGTATTTATTTTTTATTATTGTTAGGGCATAAGGGCACGATTAATCGCATTCAAAATAAAAGTTTGTACATAATATATGTGGGTGCACTGTGTATAATTATTATATATATATATAAATACACACGCGCACACGCTTGTATATTTTTAAGAAATATTTTCATGTATATAGATTTATATATAATTAATATTATATATAAATATAAATACTTTATATATAAATAATATTTTTTCTTAAACATACATGCATGTGTGTGTATTTATATATACAAAATAATTATACACAGTGCACCCACATATATTATGTAAAGACAAACTTTTATTTTGGATGCGATTAATCGTTTGCAGCCCTAATTATTATGCATTACTCTATTATTATTATTTTAAATTCAGATCATTATTTGACATTTATAATTAATTTCACATTCTCTCACGGTGGCTATTATTTCTATTACTATTATCATTGTTTTAAGTCGTTTAAACAGTATTTGTGTGAAAGCGCCAGATCCAAGCGAACAGGCTCTTAATAACTAGCGTATTGGCAACTTTGATCAGTTTCCTAGAGAAATAGCCCACTTGATCACAAACGGCCATTCCCTGTAGATCGTAGGACTTGTCAAAAGTCTCGCCCGATGTGCGCGAGACTGGTTAACAGCGCATGCCCAACTAACCACCCATGCCAAACAACTGATTATGGTGATAAATGTCCTTGAGGTGATTGTAATCAGCCTTTTTCCTCTTGTTTTTGTTTTATTTTTTCCCATGCTTCTCTCGCTTTGCATCGTGATTGCATGCCATCTGCTGGTTTAACCTAACGATGGCTCGCTGCTCTGTAATATACACCATTGCTAAACCAAAAAAACAAAAAAACGACAAAAAAACCCTACCAAACACCTGTTGCATTGGTTTCCATAATGCTCCACCTACCTGTTCATTGCTTCCATGGTTCCCTTCCTGAAAAAGTACCCATGATGTACAGTGCTACGCCTGCTACTGTCTCTGCAGCAACAACTCCTGCCACAAGTGTCCCCTACGCAACAACAGCACCAGCCAATCAGGTTTGCTCCTTTTAAAAGCTTTCTTTCATAAATCCCTGAGCTCTGAATAAGCACTTCGCAAGGCCCGAATCCATTGGCTGAAACCAAAAGCATTCATTCGGACGGATCGGTGCTTATTCAGAGCTCGCACATTGGCAAATAGTAGTTGTGTTGTGTTGCATTATTTTCTTGTTTCGTTCTGCATGTCCTTGCTTTATTTTGATGTCGAGATATCCTTCCTCATCCACACAAACACTAAACACACATACAGTCATGTGCTGAGCAGGGAGAAGGTGAGGTTTGCAGAACCGGGGCGACGTTGGGCGACGAGGCGCTAAAAATGGTTCTGTAGGAGGAGGGAATGTGTGTGACGTTCACCAACCGGCAATTACAGCAACCAAATCACAATAGCCCTAGACTTGCTCATGAACTCGTCTAATGTGCTCAGATCCCATCACGCATTCCCCGGACCGCTCCCGTTCTTTGGTATTGTTCACTCGGGGGTCACATAAGGAGCTTTCCCACTTCCGTCGTTCTTAAGTGAAGCCTTCCTGTCAGCGAGTGGCTTTTCCTGTTGTTGAATATTCTCAGGAACTGGACGTTTGTAGTCTCATCACGTGAAATTGAACCTGTTTCCTGAGGGTCTCTTGCCAGACGGTGTGAGGCTCTTCAGCGCCACCTGGCAGGAGAATGAAGTACCGCACCTCACGTCTCGCCAGCCTCCAATCACGTTGATTGAGATTAATCAATGTTTTAATCGTGCAATATCTTTCATAACCGATGGGGATTCAGCGTAAAGCAACAAATCTTGACATGGAACGTGAACTTTTTATTTGGATAATGCAAGAGTGCCCTGTTTGTGTGAAATTTTCACATTTAAACACATTCTTTATTAATAATGACTAAAAATATTTGTCAGTATTTTTAATTTATGTAATGATAATTTATTTAATTTAAATAATAGTGATAATAAATGCTATTAAATGTTAATATTATTAGAATAAATATTTAAATGTTTGTGGTAGTAATTGGAAATTTAAAAATAATGTATTATAAAATGTATTATATTAATAATAATAATTTGAAATAAATTAATAATTAACATTGTTTTAAATGTACTCTTACTACAAAGATATAAATATTTAATTGTTTTTTTTTTTATTTAAATGTTTATTGTAATAATATTAATGTTTAATTGCATTTATTATCACTATTATTTTTATTTTAAATGTGTATTTGTGTGCACTTTTCACATTTAAACACATATTGTTAAATTCATTATTAATAATAACAATAAAAATATTTGTCAATATTTTTAATTTATGTAATGATAAATGATTTAAAATAAAATAATAGTGATAATAAATGCTATTAAATGTTAATATTATTACAATAAATATTTAAATGTTTGTGGTTGTAATTGGAAATGTAAAAATAATGTATTATAAAACATTATTTAATTAATAATTTTATTAATAATAATAATTTGAAATAAATTAATAATTAACATTGTTTTAAATGTATAACGATTACTACAAAGATATAAATATTTAATTGTTTTATAAAACATTATTTTTAAATTTCCAATTACTAACACAAACATTTCAATATTTATTGTAATAATATTAACATTTAATAGCATTTATTATCACTATTATTTTTATTTGATATTTTCACATTTAAACACATTGTTAAATTCATCATTAATATTAATATTTTTCAATATTTAATAATAAATTTTTTAAAATAAATAATAGTGTTAATAAATGCTATTACCTTTAATATTATTACCTTTATATTATTACAGTAAATATATTATTTACTTTTAATATTATTAATATTATTACAGTAAATATTTAAATGTTTGTGGAATTAATTGGAAATTTAAAAATAATGTATTCTAAAACAATTAAATATTTATAGTAATAGTTATACATTTAAAACAATGTTAATGATTAATAATTAATAATATTATTCATTAAATACTATTTTAAATATCAAAACCACTGAGAAAGAAATGTGAAAATTATTTAATAACATACAGTATATTAATAACAAAAACAATAATAAGAATATTTATATTAACAATTATATATTGTATACATGGTTGTATTAGTCTTTTTATTATATGTTGGTATTTGATCTATTATTAATTAATTATCTTGACTTATTTCCATGTCAAACAGGATTTTCAACAATTTCAAAAATTGATTTGAAGGTGAAAGCACTAATGTGTTCACTGTAAGGCCAGACATATAAATTAAGAAAATGAGACATTTTGTTATATTTTTAAGTTATATTTTTAGCAGATGCTTCTCTCAGTCGTGGTTTTACACAGGTTTCAGAGCTGAAGGAGGAACACAGAGGCCTTTTCTCTGGTGTTTGTTTGCGTCAGTCTCCGAGCCAGACAGACAGAACCAGCAGCGTCCGCTGAGTCATCGCCGCGAGCGCTAATCTCACACATGAGTTTAATTATGCAGCGAGAGAGGCGTAAACAAACGCTTGACTGCTGCACAGACGCAGCTTTGAGGTGACGACTTTAGCTGGGAGCGGATGAACGCCGGTCACGTTATTATCTACTGAACTGAGGCTGTGTTCGGAATGGCACACTAACTCACTGCTTACTGCCCAGTGCACACCGCCCACTAGTTTTTCAGAGTAGTATGCAATATGCATTCAGAGTAGTTGTCACATGACAGACATTGAACATTAATTAAGGTTAATTAAGGGGTGTGCATAAGACTAACATGACACCTTCATAACCATCACATGTTATGAACATGAAATATGCATGTTATTGCTCAATAATGACATTTTGAATGCAAATATGACATTATAAGATGTCTTTGTCACGACAACTTGACATAAAATTAATGTCAAACTCAACCACCTGACAGTTTAATGTAATGTTAACCAATAAAGCTACGTGGTTTCTTAAGTTTGATCATTCATCTGCTATGTCAAGTAATGTCAAGTTGTCATGACAAAGACACTGACAGGTTATTATGATTTGGTTTATGTCAAGGTGTCTTAACAAAGACATCTCAAACAATGTCATATTCACATTAAAAATGTCATAACTGAGCGAATGACACTTAATGACAGTTGTCACAAATATGCATAAAACTTATGTCATGGTTATGAAGGTGTCATGTCAGTCTTATGCACAGCCTTTCAAGTAAAGTGTTACCAGGTTGTTACCTTACAAATGAATGTGCTGAACATGCTTCTTTTTTGTATGTGAAATATCCTACATTTCAATCCGAAATAAGCCTAAAACAATTCTGTTTGTTGGTGTAACGTTGATCCGGAATCATGTTTTTCACTTAATCAGTTGATTAGATTTTATATTTGCTCTACACTGAAAAAAAAAGCTTACTGTGGTAACATGTACATTAACTAAATCAAATTAAGAATAACATCATCATGTTTGAATCAATTTGCCTATATTAGGTTGGATAATTTAAACAATTTAGAAAAAAAATAAAATGAAGTACAGTAATAGTCGGATGAACAATGGCACAGTGCTGATTCATTATAGGTTATGCTCTACATATTACATAAATATATATTATGTCAGCATAAAAAAGGTTATTGATATGTTAATAGATCTGATTCAACTTTATTGGCCGAGTGTTAGTATTACACTCTAAAAAATGCTGGGTTGTTTTAAAGGAGTAGTTCACTTAAAAAAAAAACAAAAAAAAACTTTTGCTGATAATTTACTCACCCCCATGTCATCCAAGATGTCCATGTCTTTCTTTCTTCAGTGGAAAAGAAATTAAGGTTTTTGATGAAATCATTCCAGGATTTTCTCCATATAATGGACTTCAATGGGAACCAAAAGGTTCAAGGTCCAAAAGACAATTTTAGTGCAAACTGTTCAAAGGGCTTTAAACGATTCCAGACGATGAATAAGAGTCTTATCAAGCGAAACGATCGCTCATTTAATAAATAAATATCAAAATTTAAGTTTTATAAGCTCAAATGCTCGCCTTGCTCTGCTCTGTGATTAGCGTTCGTGACTCTCCTGTTCAAAATGAACGAATCTTTTTTCGAGTCATGACTCAAGGGTCCTAGATAAGACACTTATTCATCGTCTGGTGTCGTTTAAAGCCCTTTGAAGCGGCACCGAAACTCTCATTTGGACCTTGAACCGTTTGGTTCCCAATGAAGTCCATTATATTAAATTATCAGCAAAAGTTTTTTTTTTTAAAGTTAACTACTCCTTTAACCCAACTTTGGGTCAAATATGGACAAACCCAGCCATTGGGTTACATTTTTTTATTACATTTTTAACCCAACATTTGGGTTTGTCCATATTTGACCCAAAGTTGGGTTAAAACAAGAGTGTCCATGATTTATAGTTAAAGATTTGCGAACTCGATTCAAACATCCATGCGATCTTATTCCTAATTGACACGGATTTGTCTGTGTATCAAACCTGTGACAAAATCACACCGGAACAATTAAATCTGTCATTTATAAAACCGCTTCTCAAACAGGATCACATATTCATATTTGATATTATCAGAGAAGTACTGGGGTCATAGGTCATAGTTTAGATATAAACACTGATGTCTGCGGAAGCGATCGAAATAGAGAAAGTCACATGACACTTCAAATTGTGATTGAATCATTCACTGATTCATCCGGTAGTGAAACAAGTGAGTCGATGAACCTGATTATTACAAATAATTGATACAGATGAAATAAACATTTTAAACAGACTTTTGTCTTTTTTAGAAATTAATTATTAAAAATTAAATAGAATAACAGTGGACCTAATTACGCTTCTACACAAGATAGGAAAGTCGGATGGTATTTAAAAGCTATTTTGAAATAATATATAGTTTTATTGGTCAAGAGAGTAGGCTGTTTCATATGACGGACTGCATCGTAATTATAATTTGAAGTTTTAGACAAACTGTGAAGCGCACGTTTAAGGGAATTTATCATTATAATGACACTATTTTCTTTTTCAAGCTCTGTTGCAACATTGATCTCTGTTTGCATCACTGAATCATCATATTCCTGCTTATAAATCTGCATTGTTTAAATCGCTGTATAAACAACAATGACTTGACCGGAAACATGCCGCAGAGATTTCTGTGCTACTAACAAGTGTTTTCGGAAACACAGCCAGACTGTACTTCACCCTAACATGTATATGTGTACTTCTAAAAGTGTTACATTAATAATTATTCCCCGCCTCTAGTTCACTCACGCTGAATTCTACACGCAGATGAAACGTCACATGGAGCGCGTTGCATTGTGGGAGTCAGTATCCCAAGCAGTGTCCTCAGATGCGTACATCAGGTTTCAGCAGATGTAGTAGGTAATGCGGGAATTTCATGCATACTATTCTTCACAGTATACACACTGCATACTGCAACATAGTAGGACTTGCCAATCCGAACACAGCTTCCATACTGATTTCAGTGTTGTTGAGTTATGCTAGGTCATCTGGGTGTTCATGCATACAGAAAATATGGAAGTGTGATAGTAGTATGCCATTTCGAACACAGCCGGAGACTCAGTTTGGTGTGTGAACTGATGGCACGTCCCTGTGATGTGTGTGTAGGGCAGCGGCGCCCCCTCCTGGACACTCAGATTTATCTAATATCAACGTTTATGAAACCTTGCGTGCAAATACTTGATATTAAAATAATGTTTGTAACCATGTAGCTTTTAATTCTTGGCTGTAGAATATATATTTTCAGCAATATAATCTATAACACATATTTTAACAGATATGCACATTTAAAGGGCTATAGAATCAAACATTTACATAATGTATATTTACATTGATATTATGATTATGTTAAACTTCACATATATACATTTACAATTTTAAAGAATTAAATATTTACCTTCTAAAGTGTATGTGCTATTTTAATGAAGTATTTTTACATTATTAATATAATAAAATAATATAAAAAATATTGTTATGTTTTAAATGGATTTGCACGTGTAAAATGTAAAGCTGTAGATTTCTATATTCATATTATTTATGTAATGTATTTAATGTATATATGCATTACTAATATAATTATATTTTAAAAATAGGTATTATATAAACAGATATGCTCGTTTAAATGTTACAATGTTTGTATTATTTCAATGAAGTATTAAAAATATATTTTTTTTAAATGTAAAAATCTGATATAACTGAAAATCAGATGTGCATACTTGCTTAAAGCTGTAGAATTCTATATTTATATTATGTAATGTATATATATATATATACAATGTAGTGATATTTATTGTAAAATGTATATATGTTTATACAAATATATATATATAATATATAATTATTTAAATAAATATAATGCATATATTTACACTATTTAATCTATTTATAATAAGTATTTATATAAATAATACGTTTGATAAATAGATTAAATAGTGTAAATATATGCACTTATATTTTATTTAGATATAATTATATATATATTTTATTTGTATAAACATAAATATACATTTTAGCAACAGTAAATTTCACTACATTAATGTAATTATACACTATAAAATAAAAACAAATACATTACATAATATAAATATAGAATTCTACAGCTTTAAAGTGTATGATTACAAATCATGAAAATATTTTTTTTTCAGTGTGTCTTCATCTATCACAATCTAGGACAGAAAACTGCTTATCAAACTGCTCATGGGGTCTTTAAACGCTTTAGTCTGAAATAAATGGCATTTATTTGTTAATTATAGCAGCTAAACCCGGTTTACATCACACACAATATCATGATCCAGCATAGAGTCGCTGTTCTCTACATTGTCATTGTCTCATCGGGCTCTGTGTAGCTTGCATGTGAACCCTCTCTGGCCTTGCTTTCCCATCATGCCGCGGTGCAGCCGGCTGTCACACTGCCTTTACCTCACAACGCTGCCTGTGTTTCATGGGGACTTTACACGTCTGGTGACCGAACTATCACTGTTGGCTTGGGCTAGTTTAATAAAACATTTCAACTCGCTTTGAATCCAGGCAAAAGGTTCGCTATACGACCCACACAGTGCCAGTGGGTGAATAGACCAGCTATGTCATTAAATATGATGTTGTTTGAGGCATTTCCATTGGTTTATGTTACTCCCACATCCATGCATGCAGAAAATCACACAAAAAGACATCAAAATATTGTACTGTGACCCGAGGCCTCTAATAAACGACCGTATCCACAGTTTGAGATGGAGACCTGGCTGTGTTCTGACTCGCATACTAGCATACGACACATCATTTTTTGTATGCATTGATTCACCTTTTTTTGCATTAAAATAACACGGACGCTACATATGCAAAATAATTCTTTTATTCAAGCGAGGATGCATCAAATTGATCAAAAGCCACAGTAAAAGGGATTTATAATGTTACAAAAGATTACATTTTAACTTGAATCGCATCAAATCATCATTTCTGAAGGGTCATGTGACACATGCTTCAGCTTTGATCGCATAATAATCAGCTGTTTTAAATTGGAATAATAATATTTTTACTGTATTTTTGATCAAATAAATGCAGCGAGACTTCCTTCAAAAATATTGTTTGTTGATTTTTTTTTATTCATTATTTTATAACTGAAAAGACACTTAACCCTTGTGCTGCATTAGATTTTTAACACCGTTGAGTGCATTAAGGACCAAAAATGGCCACATATTAAACATTGCCTAAAATATTATATATTATTATTATTTTCCACTTTTACCAAGTTAAATCTTTTAACCAGCATCAGTCCTCATCATAACTACCAAAAATGTATTCAGTTTCAGGATTTTAACCCTTTAATTACCAGTTTTGTTTGCGAAACCATCGATTTGTATAAGAGGAAAAAACACAAAAATGCAATTATTTTCAATAAACTAAATGCAAAGAGAAAACTTTAGATTTGGATTATCACAGTCCCACTTTGCAAAAAATCCCACTTAGCGCGTTAGAGACCAAAAATGGACACCTATTAAACATTTCCTATTTGCCTAAAATAAGGTGCATTTCCACCCATAGGGAATAAATATGTAGTGACGTCATCTGGTGGAATACACTATATAATGCAAATATAATGCTTTTGCTTCAAAATGAAAGGATGTTTGTGCAAAAATCATGTTTCATGTATTACTGACAGCCTCAGATTTAAACAACGTTTTAATGGGTTTCAATGGGCCATTTTTGGTCTTTATGGTGCTATTTGATCTACACAGTGTGTGTTATACATATTTTGCAAAATGGGATCACATTTTTTACATGTATCCAAAAAGTCACAATTTTGCCAAATTTAATACCATTTGCATTAAAACAGCCGAAATGGTCAAAGAAATTAAACTGCAAAAGACCAAAAATGTCCCTAATGCAGCATAAGGGTTAAACAATGTTATTTTTGAGCAGAAACACTACATGAACATGCATACGCCCGATAGATAGCATGCACACCCCTCGCTCATGTCGTATCGGCATCACACGGGCTCCTCTGAACAATCGTGTAGCCTGTAAGATGGATTATGACGTTTAATGGGCCTTAATTGTGTGTTTGTTTCCCCGCAGATCATCTTGAAGTAAACCACCGGAGAGGAACGGGGTGTCAGGAAGCTGCTTTGAGAAACCCAAAAAGATCCCCGTGTAAATACGACCTGCCCTCCCCGATAGAACTACAGCAACCTGCATGATAAAGCGTAACACATTAGCAAGCCACAACACACACACACACACCTCGACCGGTTTCTAACTTCAAAAACAAGAAAATATATATAAATATATATATATATATATGTCAATGTACAGCACGTTTCATAGAGGCATAAGTGAGATCGTCAGCAGTCAGATAATGTGTATTTTTCTCCCATGGTTGTTTTAAATGAAAAACAAATGCACAATGTTCAAACACACACACACACACACACGGTTTGCACTGTCAGAAATAGTGCTTAATAATAAGTGCTTGATTGTCTTGAGCGGGAGGACGTCTCCTGCAGAGTTTGTCTTAACATCCCCATGACCCTCCGGATAGGGGAAAGAGGGGTTGCTTGATTTTATTATTTGATTATTTTCTTGTTTTAATACACCGAATGTCACATGGCGGACAAAAAGAAGATTGTCTACTGATCTAAAAAAAAACAAATGCGCCTCCCTCCGGTTTCTCCTCGGACTTGAGCTGATCCGTCTTCGCGAGCGGAAATGATTCGTTTTATTTTTTTTTTCATCATCCCCGCCGCCGGCCAAAGAAAGGTTTACCGTGCGAGAATGTGGCGAACCACGTGCCATGCGACCACCTTTCTGTCTCCGCTAAAGGACTGTGAATGATTTGGACGTGTCCGTGGGAACACCGGCCATCAGGGAGTCGACTCCGGCTTCTGTCCCGTGCCAAGGGCTTACATTAAACTGGAGAGCTGCTGTCAAACTGACTCGTACACGAGACGGACTTCACAACCGCGAGGACGAGGACGAAGCGTCGCTCTCGCCGATAATCCTGTTTTATTTGATAAACAGTTTAGAAGTGCCTAAGAAATCTATTTTACACAGCAAGCATCTTGAGAAGATGACTTTACGTGGGGTCGGGGGTTATCCCGAGACGAGACGAGACGAGAAACGACATCATCATGGTCTGTCATTCACACAACTGAATAGCGAGAATGTAAAGGACGAGCTAAATGTCTGTTTGGTGGACGATTGTGTTTTGTTTCGTGTCGTTTTCATGCCTGATTTCTGGTGGGCGGAGCGTGTGTGAGGTGAGCGTGTGCACCCATCCAATCAGAAACATCGTGTGTTTCCATGGTGCTCAGTTAACACAGACAATCCACAGAGACGTTTGGTTTCGCAGGAATATGGCACTGGTCTTAGCGTTTTCCCCTTTGTTTGGTTTTCTATTAGGGCTTTTATTTTGTTTTTTTGTCCAAAAGTTACAGTTTTAATGTAATTTTTGAAGTGGAACGTGATTTAAATATATTTTATCGTCATTCTGTTTTGTTAAATGCTAGAACACGGAACAATGGTGTAACCTATTTTAAAAATGAATGTAATTTATTAAGCCGGGCTTTGGCGGCGTCGGCGGCCTCGGCCAATCAGGAGCCGCTTCTAGATCGAGCGCAGGCCGGGCTGTAGAACTGCTTGTGTTATGTAAAAAACAACAACATAATGTTTATTGTATAGGTAATGTTTTACCAACAAAACACAAAAAAAAAACAAAAAAAAAAGCTAAAAAAAAGTACAAAAAATAAATTCTCGGTAGTATGATTAGTTATTTCATAATAATATTAAGTTGTTGCTGTGGCAACCTAAAGTTGCGATACTAAATTTTGGTATTTTTGTAAATGATGTAATCGTTAAGTTTCTTTCTTTTAGAGCACTGCGAAAGGTTAGATTGTAAAACATTTCCTCGTTTATGTCGAGATTATATTACCGGGAGATTTCTCCGTAGCATTTAACGGTGTAACGTTTAAGATAGTAGTAAATACTCACCAGTTACAGAACCCGCGCCCCCTTTTCGATTGACTAAAGGATCTCGCGTTTTTTTTTTTTTTTATATATTATTTATGAAAGTTGTCCTGGTTTGTTCTACAACCCAACGATTGCACTTTGATTTCCTGTAACTTTCAAACCGACGCACAGTGTGAATACGGCGACGCAAATCAATGACGGTTGTTTTACGGCTAAGACCTAAATATTCAGTAAGCATCTTGCATGGTATTTTATGTCAAATTAAGAAGTTATTTTCAATTTAATCTGAGAAGAAGATAAAAAAAAAAATGAAATATATTGAATGTTTCTATCTACACTATAGAGAAGAAAAAAATCTGCACATGTGATGAACGTAAACGGATGATTTGGGATTTCTTACTCCCCAAATGAGTTGTTGACTGATGGGTAAAAGAAGCACTTTGGGATCAGACACAGCGTATCCAAACACTTTGCCTTACCTTTAGTCCATTGTTTTTAAGCTTTTGTGTTTCAGAGCTATTAATATGTACTAGGGTGTCAACAGGTCTACTGACTTTACTTCTCACCTCCATCTATATATGACTATACTATACCTATAACTGAGACATGTAAGAGTTTATTCTTATTATTTGGGAGCGTCGTCACCGAGAGAACGCCCCGCTCCCGTTTTCAGTGGGATTGTGGGTAATTTTACGCTGTGCTGCTTGACTTCCATCAGTGATGCAGTAGCCCATCCACACATTCACAGAGATGATGATGATGATGATAGCGGAAGAAAATGATAAACCAAGCCCTCTTTGGATGATATTAGTTTTCATGTAACCATTTTAAATGTTTTATTTGTGCATATATATATTATGTGCTATTTTATGTCATATAGTCAAATGTTTTTGGTTCCAGAAAAATAGTGTAAAATCTATTGAGACAAAATGAATAAAGAAAGAGAAAAAGGATGCATGTGTGCTTTATTGTGTTTGCATGATCATCTGCATCAGCAGAAAGATGTGCGTTCAGTTTTGCATGCATTGATCTTTTTATATATATATATATATATATATATATATATATTTCTGCATTTTTTTTTGTCCTTTTCTAATACGTTAACTTGAGATGCAAGTGTTAAATAACTCAATGTGAAGTGAGTTAATGCTTAAAACAAGAACAAATATGCCAGTTTGTTATGAAAACTTCCTATTGAATTAAGTGTTCAGTTTTTGAAATACATTTTTCTGATATTTGTTATTTTAAACATAAAAATTTTGATCAATTTCACCGAAAACTAAACTTTTTGTGCTTTTGCATGTTTAATACATTTACTTTATGCAGTTGCACTGGAAAACAAGTAAAAAAAAACTGAGGAAAATCGTGATTTTTTTTGCATAATGATCAGAAGGTTCAGTAAAAGATGATTATTTTTGATGATTACTTTTATTTTTTTATTTATTTTTTATTTATTTTTGTAAAATGAATGAAAGAATAATGGGTATCTGTTGTAAGTTATATTTTCAAACTCAGAAGTGTTGCTTTTTATCCCTTAAAGAATCACTTGGTCTTAAAGAAGTCTTTATAAAATATTACATGTACCTTCATAAAACCTGCAGAAAGCCTGAACGAGTTTTTTGAAAAGGCTAACACAGTTTCCATCGTCTTTTTGCACAGTTCTGTTTTCAGCGAAGGGAAAATGCATCAAACGTCAAATTTCCATCCAATTGTCTTTTTACTGATAAAATCGGGTGTATAATATGCTAAATGAATATTGTAATCATAATAGCATTATCATCTGATACCACGCTTTTAACATGGTAGGGAATTAAAATATGATATTTAAAACTGAGTAATCTTGTGTTAATCGTGTTACTCTTGGAACGAATAGTTGTTGGAAAGACTGTTTATGTCATTCCAAGCCTGTTTGCATGCTTTTGTGGTCCTTTTTGAAGTAGATTGATTTGGAAAATAACTCTATTGCACTGAAGAATAAAAGTCACACAGGATTGGAAAGTCGTTAGGTGAGTAAATATTACAGTATGATGGGGCCAAGGCGCATTTGACTTTATTCTCTTTTAAACCACTAGATGGCACAAAAACTCAGCTCAGCACTTTTATTAGAAAAAAAGATTTTGTATCTAGCTTTAAATGTTGTTTATATGTCTATAAGGTGTTTTTAATACGCTTTAAGACGAATCATGTGTAAGTTCATAAGTCGACCGCATTGCTGAGTATTTCCTCCTTAAAAGTGCAGTGAACCATCATATTTAAAAAATATATTAATCATATCATATAATAAATGTGTTATTATTTAATAATTACTACTGTAAATCTATATTCAATGATTATCTGATCTCATTCAATGCATTCAAAATCTTTACTGTTTAAAATAATTTTGTTTCAATTTATCAAATATTTTAATGGCAGTATATTTATTGTAGAATAATTAATTTATATATATATATATATATATACCGATTATCGCACAAACTTTGTTAAAGTGATTGTTTTGAACAAGTAATAAGCATAGTATTAACAAGTATTAACTTAGACTTTATAATAAAAATATGTTTTTATTAAAGTATATATGTATTTTGCCCTGTGCTGGTTTTACCCCCTCTGTGTCTGTCGTCAGCTCATACATTTATACGATTTATAAAACAAAATAAACCACTTTAATGATTTATTCTCATACAAAATCTGTTGCTCCATCAATGTTCAATTAAACAGCCAACGTGGCATTTTAAAAATAAAGATAGTATGATATTCAAGCAAAACATTTGATCAGTTTGATATACCAAAACAATAGATGGTGTTTAAAATGAACATTAGTCGTTAGCAGAACATGTTGACGAGCTACAGTAATCCTGCAGAAGTGATTAATTAAAGTATTGAGATAGTTTGATGAACACTGCAGACACACACACACACAATGGCCGCATCCCTGTGTTGCATCTATTTAAGGTGCTGATGCAGGCGACGCGCTGTTGCCATAGGAACAGCATCATTTATTGGCACGCCCCCTGCACCGCCTCCCATTGGTCGCTCAACTGATCCTAGAACCAACCGCGTCGAAGTGAAAAGCGGAAGTCCCGCCCACCGCACTCAACCATTGCCTTATTAAGAACACTGGGCGTGGCTTATCGAACTCCTCCGCGCCCATTGAACGCTCACGGCATCAATCCCGCTATAAAGCTCCTATCCTCGGCCCGAGACTGTGCTCTGGCTCCAGAAGGTCTCCACCCGAGAGGATGGCGGTTGAAGATGCCGTAAGATGCAGAATAGTGTGCATCTTCTATTCTGGGACGCATCAGGGAGGGGACGCGTGATGTGTTCAGCGTTTAGAGGTTCTTTCGTCGTCACGCGACTGTCGGGTTCTGGCTCTTCTGCATGTTCCGGATGCCATGAAGCCCGCGCGGTGGCTCTTTGCGCGCTTCTGTGGTGAGTGTAACACGGCCAGCCATGGCTCCTGGTCTGCTCGACTTCTGCGATATTCGATGCAAGTTTCCCATCGCTTCTGATCGGCTCGGACACTGTTAGCTGGTTCCTTTACGCGCGTCACTCGGTTCGGTTCGGTTCTGTGCGCAATGCGCGAGTATAAGGTGGTGGTGCTCGGCAGCGGAGGGGTCGGCAAATCTGCGCTCACGGTCCAGTTCGTGACCGGGACCTTCATCGAGAAGTACGACCCGACCATCGAAGACTTCTACCGGAAGGAGATCGAGGTGGACTCGTCGCCGTCGGTGCTGGAGATCCTGGACACGGCCGGTACCGAGCAGTTCGCGTCCATGCGGGACCTGTACATCAAGAACGGCCAGGGCTTCATCCTGGTCTACAGCCTCGTCAACCAGCAGAGCTTCCAGGACATCAAGCCCATGAGAGACCAGATCATCCGGGTCAAGAGGTAAGAGACTACAATCATGGACATAGCATGGTGATCGGCGACATGCAAGTTGTTCGTACCATGTTTTACACATTAGTGCCATGATGGTATTAGCTTGTCGTTTTAATAAGAGACGCGATCGTGGCTCTTTCCTTCGACAAAATCACTGCATTGTATTGCAATAATTATTGATATAAATACCTTGGTATTATTTGACGTATTATTACCATAATTTTACCGCCATTTTTTTGTAAATTCAAGGTGAATAGAAATAAACCAACTGAAAATAATGGCATCCACCATGCAGATTTTAAAGTAGTTTCATTTTACCATACTGCTACAGTACTTTTAATATACACCTTTTTATGACTTCTATTAATATGATGATCATTGTGTAGGCTACACACTGTATGAATGAACCTCTTGGACAAAATCACTGCATTTTATTGCAAAAATCAAGGATGGAATTACCTTATTCTTTGATAGTACCACCTACCGTGATTTTAACACTAGTTGAAGTCAATGATGTGCTTTTCTTTGAAGCACGAGCACCTCATGATAGCAAAATTACTGTACTTCCAGAGTGTTTTGTCAATGTTACAGACATTTAAGTTGGTAGTACATGTTTTGCAATGGTATACGCATGAAGTAATCAATTTTACATGACATTGCCACAATAGTTTTTTAGTAAATTCAAGGTGAATAGCAATAAACGCACAGCAAATAACGGCAAATATTGAAGTAGCTCGTGATACCTTTATGGTATTACCACAGTACTTTTTTATAAGCACCTTTTTATGTCTTATATTAATATGATAATCATTCACTCTCAGAAAGAAAGGTCCAAAAGCTGTCGCTGGGGCTGTACCTTTTCAAAAGGTACACTTTTGCACCCAAAGGCTGCATATTGGTACCTTAGTGGTACATTAACACCTAAAATGGACATATTAGCACTTAAAATAGACTTACTACCTCCTAAAAAGGACATATTAGCTCATGAAATTGATATTAGCACCTAAAATGTACATATTAGCAAGTAAAATGTACATATTAACACTTAATATTTACATATTAGTACCTAAAATAGACATACTACCACCTAAAAACTGGACATATTAGCTCATGAAATTGACATAACCTAAAAATTGACATATTAGCAAGTAAAATGTACATATTAACACTTAAAATGTACATATTAACACCTAAAATGTACATATTACCACCTAAAATGGACATATTAGCTCATGAAATTGACATAACCTAAAAATTGACATATTAGCACGTAAAATGTGCCTATTAACACTTAAAATGTACATATTAGCACCTAAAATGTACATATTACCACCTAAAATGTACATATTAGATCATGAAATTGACATAACATTAAAATTGACATATTCGCAACTAAAATGTACATGTTAACACTTATTAGCACCCAAAATGTACATATTAACACCTAAAATGTACTTACTAGCTCACGAAATGGACAAAAGTGTACCTTTTGAAAAGGTACAGCCCCAGTGACAACTTTTGTACCTTTTTTTCTGAGTGTTCAATATCATCAAATACAGACTGTATTTAAAAAAAAACCATGGCATTGCCATCATTTTACTGTGTACTTTAGTGAGGTGAAAGCATTAAACTTTTATTTTTTATTACCATTTTTTTTTTCGACATTCACCATTGTAAATATATTATTAGCATAGCATGTGATATGGTCATTTTAGCACAGCACTGCCACAGTTCTTACCGTAATACCAGCAATAAAGATGGCATTACCATGTTTTTGGACATGTGCTGTGGTTAATATTAAAAGTACCTTGGTATTAGCATCTTACCCCATCATTTTACCAGGGTTCTGTCACAGTACTCTAATCATTCTTTATCATGATACACACTGTATTAAACAACCCTAATTTTACCTCAGTGATGCTGAGTCTGTAAAGCCGGTAGTTTGTCTTATCTGAGCGAGGTGAACTTTCCAAGGATTTCCCAAGAAGATGGAAACTGTGTGTGTGTGGAATAATATGACAGTGCCGTTAATAATAAGTCCAATGGGAGTCGGCGTCTGTTCTAATCTTTCCGTAGTTTAACCTAAGGCCGAGAAACAGATGCTGTATTGTTTGTTTTTTTCCACGTTGAGGTCTGAACACACTGCTTTCATAAACAGAACAATTATAAACCGAGCGTGAGGTAAAGCACAAAGAGACAAAAGATTAATCACTGAAGCTGCAAAACCTGAAAGGCCTGAATTATCCTGTCAGAACCTTGAAGGAGAAAAGCTTTTAAAAAGCTCTTATTTATGCACTTTTGCCATGTTGTCTTCTGGTATTTTCTGTCTGTTCAGATGTGTGATCGTGACACATACAGTCACTGTTGCAGTTGAATATTAGAAACTCCTTAAATATTGGCTGATGGTGTCATTATGAACAGGAGAGAGGTTTAGTGAACCAAAGTGATCAAGTCGTGAGATCAATCAATGCACAGTTCCCTGAAAATATAATTCACTTTATAGCCCTTAATCCTGTAATTGTGGACAAATGTGGGCACAGGGGACTCCTAATTTTTATTTATTTTGAATTTATTTACTTCAAAAAGTACCATATTTTCTATGTAAATTATGCTTTTACTTATTTTTTTTAAATTTTTAACTACATTAAAATATCCTTCCAATAAGTTCAAGATGAAGTGACTTTGCTGTCACCTGGTGTCTTATTTTGGCTTATTTTAGAATGCTCTAAATTACAGTTTTTCCCATTCATTTCTATGGGTGCCCATTTTTGACCCAAATACAAGGTTAAGAAGTTTTTTTTTCCACCCACTTAACATTGTAGAATTGAGTCAAAAAAAAAAAAAATGTGTGTTAAGGAGGCAAAGTTAGGAAAAGTAGCCAAATCTTGTACCGCTCAGATCAAGGGAAGTATTTTTTTTTTAAATAAAATAAAAAATATTTTGCCCACATTTGTCCAGAATACGGTTTTAGGGTTAAATTGCAGTCTTTTGTAGCTTGTGCTTGGACTGATTTGGTGCTGAAAAGGATGAAGTAGAGTCCATATTTAGTTGTTTCTGCGCATGTTGGGGTTTAGCGGTTGTAGCAACTGTGCTTTTATGCATCTTACTTGTTGAATAAACAAATAAATGCATTATTAAATTAATGAGCAAATACCGATTTTAGTGCTGAGCGATATGAGATATGACACTTGCACAAAATCACTTTAAGTAAAAATGCATTAAATAAATCCAGTTGAGATTCCCGCCATTAAGCACATTATATTTTTTGCAGCTTTATCTCTCGCATTATGAATTGACTTGGCACCGTTTTATGCCAGAACCTGCAGAAAGATATCTGAGGCTCTGGCACAGGTTGTTAATCTGCAGACACATGCTGAGACGGCTGATGATAACTACAGTAACGCTGGTCAGATTTGCACACTCACCACTATAGAAATGAGATTGTGTGCTGGTGGAAGCCAAAGAAACATCACGACTGCATTAGCGCGCACTAACCCAAAGACTTGCTGCACTTTTGGCAGCGAGACCCTGGGAAGAGGAAATGTGGGCGGACCCGCCGGTCATCTGCTTTCTATCTAATGTGAAACACTCCTCAATGAATTTAGATTCAAAATCACATCCATCTATTCAATTTAGCTACTAAAAACATGGCCCACACACACTCCATAGTAAATGTGTGCAATTCTGTGAAAGCATTTACATGTTGTAAAATGTGTTGTGCTAATTGGTATCTAAAAGCATTAATGAATTAATTTGAAGGAAATGTGTAAATGTGTTAATGACATTCAGACTCCCAGCAGAGAGAACTTAAATAACATTTATTATATTAATTGTGTGTGCTTTGAAAGAAGTCTTCTGCTCAACGAGACTGCATTTTTTAAATAAAAAATACACTAAAAATAGTGAAATATTATTAGAATTTAAAATAACTGTTTTCTATGTGAATATATTGTAAAATGTAATTTATATCCTGTGATCAAAGCTGAATTTTCAGCAACACAGGTCATGATTTGATGCTCAAGAAACATTTATGATTATTATCAATGTTGAAAATTTGACATTTTGGGGGAAACTGTGATATATTTCTTTTATTTTTCAACATTATTTGATGAATAGAAAGTTAAAATGTTGTTTACCTTTACCTGTGGATTAGTAAATGATCTTCTGTTTACGTCTGGCTTTTTAATGCAACACATATACAGCGTGTCTAATGCCAGCTTTGTGAAGTAGATGTTGCGTTCCTGGATTGGATGACGGTGTAACGGTCTCACGAGACCTTCCTTCTTGGAAGATGAGATAGTGTTCCTGAGGGAAACCTGCTGTTTGAGCCCATAGATATTGACATTTCACACTCATCTGAAATCTGTTTTTGCTATTCTCCTAGCTCTGAAACGCATGGAGAAGCGTGTCCTGGAGAGAGTGTGTAAGGCCGCTGACGACCATGATTGCTTTTTAACCTGCTCCAATTTACTGTCCGCTCCACTGCACCGCTGTGACCGCGAGCAAAGCTGCGGCGTATTAACATGAACTCATCTGTCTTCATTGTGTTTCACTCTGAAGAGAAGATTTCCTCCATTTCTCTACACCGAGGGTGATTATGTATGTTGTACGACTTTGAATTGGTTTGGCTACTTTTCTACCTTTTACTTGCACTGTGACCTTTTACTTGATGTAGCGCTTGTATTTGCACATCAGTTCAGGTACTTTATGCTATTTAAATACGACTTACTATACCCTTTATCAAAGTCTATAGTTTCAGGCTTTTCTAGAGCAGGTTTTCCTGCTTGAATGTTGATTATTCTCCTCATATTCTCCATTGTTGCGGCTCCTCTCTTCCCAGTCTGTCAGTAACGCTCTGTTTATTTCCTGTCTCTATGAAGCCCCTCCTTCTGAAAAGCACACTGTGCTCTGATTGGTCGGCTGGATCAGTGTGTTGTGATTGGTCGAGCGCTTCGAAACGGTACTAAACACACGTGAAACACAGGAAACTAAACACACTTGAAACACAG